TTTTCCTTTTTTTAACCGAGACTCATTTTTTTCCTTTTTTTTTTTAACACCGAGACGGTCATATTTTTTCCTTTTTATTTAACACCGAGACGGTAAATTTTTTCCTTTTTTTAACACCGAGGCGGTCATTTTTTTTATTTTTTTTTTCACCGAGACTCATATTTTTTCCTTTTTTTTAACACCGAGACGGCCACTCTGTTCCAATATGCGATTAACACACAAACTCATATTTAAAACGAGGTTAAAAACGCAATTTGTTCTTCTAAATCAACCTGGGACTTTCAAGAACGGAAGCACTGACCGAATTATTTACTTAAATCGCAAAAAAAAAATTACAGACGATATATATATTATATATATATATATATATATATATATATATTACAGACGATAAACATTGCATTTTAACGTTCCTAAACCACCCTTAAAACAATAATTTCAAAAATAGCATTACAGACGAGAAACATTTCATTTTATTTGTCCTAAACCACCCATATAACAATAATTTTCCTTAGTGCTAGTGTTGTTATTATAACAGTACTAGCAAGTAAAGCAGAAGGAGCAGCAACAGAAACATCAATTTTACTACAACTGACAATAATAATATAAACAATACTGTAATTATCATTCATGGCAGAGAGTCGATGTCTTAATCACAATCATCAACAACATAACAACAATAATAATAATAATAATAATAAGAGTAATAATAATAATAGTAGTAATAATAATAATAATAATAATAAATAATAGTAATAATAACAATAATAGTGATAATAATAATAATAGTATTAGTAATAATAGTAATAATAATATTATTAATAATAATAATAATAATATTTTTCATCTACATAATAATAATAATAATAATAATAATAATAATAATAATAATAATAATAATAATAATAATAATAATAAAATAATAATAATAATAAAAACAATAATAATAATAAAACAATAATAATATAATAATATAATAATAATAAAACAATAAAATAACAATAATAATAATAATAACAATAATAATAACAATAACAATAACAATAACAATAACAATAACAATAAATAATAATAATAATAAATAATAATAATAATAATAATAATAATAATATAATAATAATAATAATAATTCTCATCTCCATCCTCCTCAACCCCCCCCCCGAGAATCCAGCCCCCCTCCCAGAAGACAGCTACCCTCCCCCCCCCACCCCCTTCCGCGTGAGGAGTGCGTGCGGACACCCCTCCCCCCTCGGCTTTGGCTTAATGCTGCCGCCTCACGCCCACCTCACGCCCACGCCCACACAAACACGGACGGGCGCCTTGGCCACGGCTGCGTGACTGGACCCTGATCCTTGAATTTTTTTTTCATGAATATTTTTTTTTTAAAGTACTGAATTCCCTCACGTGGGAAAATGGAGCAGAGTAGTGACGTATAGGAGGGAGAAACGGCTTCAGAGTCCATTGTTGCTGTCTCCTTTATGCAGCTTTACATTCTAGTTTCTTTCGTTTTTCGTTCTTTTCTACGTGCGGGAGAGAGGAGGGAGGGAGGAGAGAGGAGGGAGGGAGGGAGGGAGGAGGGAGGAGGGAGGAGGGAGAGAGGGAGAGAGGGAGAGGAGGAGAGAGAGAGGAGGGAGGAGGGAGGGAGGGGGGGGAGGGAGGAGAGGAGGGAGGGAGGAGGGGAGAGGGGAGAGGGAGGAGGAGGAGGGAGAGAGGGAGGAGGGAGGGAGGGAGGAGGGAGGGAGGAGGAGGAGAGGGGGAGGGAGGAGGGAGAGAGGAGAGAGGAGGAGGGAGGGAGGGAGAGAGGGAGAGGGAGGGAGGAGGGAGGGGAGAGAGGAGAGAGGGAGAGGGGAGAGAGGGAGAGAGGAGGGGAGAGGAGAGGGAGAGGGAGAGGGAGAGGAGAGGGAGAGGGAGGGGAGAGGGAGAGGGAGAGAGAGAGAGAGAGAGAGAGAGAGAGAGAGAGAGAGAGAGAGAAAGAGAAAGAGAAAGAGAAAGAGAAAGAGAAAGAGAAAGAGAAAGAGAAAGAGAGATAGAGAGATAGCGACAGACAAGAATACAAAAAAAGACAAGGTGATGAGACAATAACAAAAGCAGAGAGAAAAGAGAGAGAGAGAGAAGGTGACGCGAAACTCGACGTCGAGCGAAAGAACCGACTCGTCCCGCAAAAAGTCAGGGGAAGACCCGGAAATTTCTGCCAGATCTCGCAAGACTTCTCTGCCTTTTTTTTCCGACTCCAAAAAAAAAAATTATCACCTGCTCGATTGTCTGTCCAAGTGTCCTCTCCTTACTACAACGTACTACCTTTCATTTGATCTTTTTACACACACACACACACACACACACACACACACCACACACACACACACACACACACACACACACACACACACACACACACACACACACACACACACGCACACACACGTGATCCTTACAACAACGTATTATCTTTTCGTTTGGTCTTAAATAACACTACTGTCGATAGCAGAGATATGATCCTTATCTACGACGACTCAAATACTGTGTGATGCTCTGTTGGTCGCAGCAAATAAATAACGAGACGCTCTTTTATACACTACCAGCAGGCCGTGAGTCAATTATTCGTGAGCCATGCGTGACTTGCACATTCAGACAATGCTAATGATTTCGTCCCGTTTACAAAACATCGACTTGAGCGTCATGCACACCGTAAAACGTACTGACATCCAATGCATATGTTATAGTTTATTGCTTCCGGTATAAACGCTAAAATATCGCCGTTTTTTTTTTTTGTTTTTTGTAATCTCTGTCGGTTTTCCCCTTAACATTCCAACACTGGTAGAGGCTGCTACTTTTGTCTCGCATTTCTCTCGTCTTCTTCATGTAGTCTATCGGCCGGTTTGTTACAATTGTGCGGAGCCCGACCCAATGAATATTCGTAAATACAGACAGGCATATACACAGAAATTAATGCATACATATCTATATACCTGATAGATGTACCATTATCTATCTATATATCTGACAGATATACCTTTATCTGTCTATATATCTGATAGGTATACCTTTATCTATCTATTTGCCCGGTTGATATGCATGTCTAGACTGATAAATATGCATATATTTCTTTATTTTTGCATGTCAAGTATACGAATATTCGAATATTCTTTGGGCCTCGCACAATTTTACCAAACCGGCCGCTAGTTCTTACTTTCACAATCTCCGAGAGATATAATTACACATGCCTTGATCAGAGTACGACACAGCGGCGTCACACAATGGATCCACAAGTTCTAATTTGATTTGGTCCGCTGACCGACCTTCGCACAGGCAAGGTAATTATGACCGAATATCTAGCGACACCCAACTGTAAGTCACCGAAATGTTACTGAATATATTTTACTAAGCTCGAAGATATTCTGGACTGAAGAGATCGTGTCTACTATTGCCACTGAAGGTAACCAAGTATTTGAAGGCAAACTGATGTTTACTTTTTTTTTTTTTTTTGTGTGTTTTTTTTGGATAGCGAGGCACATGACACTGGATTCAAAATAAGCTGCATTCTTCACCCAAAAGATTAAGCTTCGTCATCACACTAAACTACAAAAAAAAAATCTCAGTAACGTATAAGTAACATTACACACTATTACTAAACACTTTTTAACCTGAGTGGCGACGCATGGGCACTGACTTGGCCATAGAGGAATGTGTAGAAAGCGTGGTCGTCATGTTACGAATACAACTTTGAACAATTTTGGCCATACTAGAGTCAGTGAGATAAGTGCGAGTTCTTCTTAACATCACTTGATAATACATAAGAATCTCGCAGGTTAGACATCAAGATGCAGGAGTAATGACATGAAAATGTTCGCACTTTGTAGGCCTATAAGTTAAGTATATTTTTTTCGTATTTTAATACCTGTTTCAATTTAAATCCTAGTATCTTTGGTATAATTTCATGGTCCGTATAATCTTAAAATGTTACATACATACATATAGACAGACAGAGATATAACATATAGAGCAGACAGTAAAATAGTCACCTCTTATGATTCACATATTTGCGAACACGAAATAGATCGTGAAGACGGCTCCTAAACTGAGTACGTGTTACGGGTTTTGTACAACTTAAAGGTCGTAGGTGCTCAAGGTAACGTTCCATGATGACTTGGACAGCCAAAGGGAGTGAGAGGAGGAGGAGGAGGAGGAGGAGGAGGAGGAGGAGGAGGAGGAGGAGGAGGAGGAGGAGGAGAAGAGAAGAGGAAGAGGAGAGGAGAGGAAGGAAGAGGAGTGAGGAGGAAGAGAGAAGGAGGAGGAAGAGGAGGAGGAGGAGAAGGAGGAGAAGAGAGAAGGAGAGGGAGGAGAGGAGGAGAGAGGAGAAGGAGAGAAGAGGAAAGGAGGAGAAGAGGAAGAGGAGAAGAGGAGGAGAGGAGAAGGAGGAGGAGGGAAGAGGAGAGAGGAGGAAGAGGAGAAGGAGGAGGAAGAGGAAGGAGGAGGAGAGGAGAAGAGAGGAAGAGGAGAAGGAGAAGAGGAGAGGAGGAGGAGAGGAGAGGAGGAGGAAGGAGAGGAGAGGAGAGGAGAAGGAGAAGGAGAGGAGAAGAGAAGGAGAAGGAGAAGGAGAAGGAGAAGGAGAAGGAGAAGGAGAAGGAGAAGGAGAAGGAGAAGGAGAAGGGAGAAGGAGAAGGAGAAGGAGAAGGAGAAGGAGAAGGAGAAGGAGAAGGAGAAGGAGAAGGAGAGAAGGAGAAGAGGAGAAGAGGAGAGAGGAGAGGAGAAGAGAAGGAGAGAGGAGGAGAAGAAGGAGAAGGAGAAGGAGAAGGAGAAGGAGGAGAAGAAGAAAAAAAAGGAGGAGAAGAAAATAAGAGAATATTAGTCTCTATTTGATGTGAGATGTCTCGCCTCAACACCCTGAGCTCCTATACACTTTTCAAAATCCCTACACACCCTAGAGTATCTAACATCATTTGGGTCTTCCACACCCACGCACATTAGCATCATATCAACCTGCACGGGTCCACCCCTTCCCTATGGACCCCCTACGGCCAGTGTGCTTGCCCGTTTGGCATCCCGACAGGAGACCATGGCAGAAGACACCGACAGGAAACCCCGACAAGAACCCCCGACAGGAGACCCCGACAGAAGCCCCATACAGAGCCCCGAAAGAAGCCCCCGACAGGAACCCCAGACAGGAAACCCCGACAGGAACCCCAGACAGTAACCCCCGACAGGAACCCCCGACAGGAGACCCCGACAGAAGCCCCATACAGGAGCCCCCGACAGGAACCCCCGACAGGAGAGCTCGACAGAGACTCCGAGAGGAGACCCTGCACCCAGTTACAACGTCCTCGCCATCGTCATTCGGTAATTTCTCGTACCCACAGCAATTTTCTTCTCAGGGACTGACAGCTCTAGCTTTCAAGTCCGAGACTTTGTTTTTCCCTTTCCTAACCCTACTCTTCCTGCTCTCATTCTTGCATCCCTGTTTTTTTTAATCTCTCGTTGACATATGCTTATTCTTGCCCAACCTCTACCACCGTTTCGAATGCAGAATTCAACTTATTGTTCATGATGATGACTGTTTTCCACTTCCGAGACCCATGTCGCTTTTTTTCACCACATACTTCTGCTCTAACCTTTATTAGCAAAGAAAATTTCCATGACCCTGAATTTCCCTTTCTTACAAGCACCATTGTCTCATTTTTTATACATATGAGACTTGCAAAACGGTTCTTTTATCTTCCCAGACTGTTTATCTTCGAGTGACTTTGCACGCATGCTTAGAGGGACCATAATAGACGGTGTATGTAATGACACTATGCGCCCGTGTGTGTGTATGTACGTATATGTGTCTGCGCGATAGTGTGTGTATACGTATAGGCGTCAACGTGACCGTGTGCGCGTGTGTGTGTCGTCGACTTGAGTAACTCGGAGCATGAAAGAGCGAATTGCGTCACTGCCAATTATTCCCGTTCGAACCAGCGTCCCGGGTAGGCCCACACGGCAGTCGGTGCGTTGAAGTCTCCCTCTCCTTCTGCCTTCTCTCCGCTCGTGTTTTTGAAGGAGTTCTGCTTCGTATAGACAATGTCTCCCTTGGAATAAACACGCAGGTCCCCGTGTAATGCTAGCGCAGCCCGTTATATCTGGCGCGGGGGAATCCCTCCGCTACAAGTGTG